TCATCCGGATCACCAATTTGGCTTTTGCGAGCAGCACCGTACGTGAAGCTTGGAGAAAAACTACTGCTCCGCCGCTTGTCTTGACATCTCCATGAAGGAAATGAAGAAGGCATGAAAGACTGCTCTGCAAACTGAAGAGATGCCTCCCAAGCCCATAATTCGCGAGCAGCACCGTACGCGAAGCTTGGAGAAAAACTACTGCTTCGCCGCTTTTCTTGACATCTCCATGAAGGACATGAAGGACTCTCTGCAAACTGAAGAGATGCCTCCCAAGCCCATAATTCGTGAGCAGCACCGTACGCGAAGCTTGGAGAAAAACTACTGCTTCGCCGCTTTTCTTGACATCTCCATGAAGGACATGAAGGACTACTCTTGCAAACTGAAGAGATGCCTCCCAAGCCCATAATTCGTGAGCAGCACCGTACGCGAAGCTTGGAGAAAAACTACTGCTTCGCCGCTTTTCTTGTTTTCCATCAGCAAAACATTGCAAATAGCTTTTAAAATCATACAGAATATAAAGTTTTGAGCAAATGAAAATTTCCTGTACAAAATAAAAACATTGGAATTTCATCAAATGGTGTCACTGCTGATATAAATTGAGAAGACAAATGCAGCAGAATATAAAAAAACAATATCCAAATTTGTTTACCAAAAATTTAAATTATTTAAAAGACATGAAAAAAAGTTTGAATTTTCTTTATATTTAATATTAATTGGATTCATTGAACGAAAATCTGAAGAAATTACGGATTGATATTGATGGAATTGAATTAAGAAGAAGAAATTAAAGAAACTCTAATACTAATTCTGGATTTAAATTTTTTTTTTTTAAATGTCTTCTTTTTTTTCTAAATTAAAAATACGCAAATTTATGTGACGATTTTTAGAAAATTACGTTAATTAAAAACCACTTAAAGGCATGAATAACAGAATAATGAATTGGCACAAAATTGGAAAGTAGAAGAAATAATAGAAAAGTAAATATATTACATTTCTATTAAAACTATGAAATTATAAAAGAATATAAAAATTCCTTTAAAATATGTTTTGTAGGGCGGAAAGAATTATGTCGGTTGCATTGTAACAAATAAATATTATTATTATATTTTGTAAATATAGAAAAAACGTAATTATATTTACTGTAAACAGACAATAATTTTTAAGGGCTAATTTAGACATGGTCTTCAAGGGTTGCAGCCTAGGGCCTCGTTCCATCAATAAAAAAAATATAAATAATGCAAACTTGCGTAAATTCGTTAGGCCCGGTGTCATTCAATCCCTTATAAAATTAAGCACATCAAAGAAAGTTTATTATAGTTAAGTAGTGTCATTTTCAGAGATAAATTAGAAATTATTGCTACTTGTAAAGTGAATTTTTACTGTTACCACAATTGTTCTTGAACATCAGATAAGCTTAAATAATTGATGAAACTGTGTCATTGATGAAAGAACCGATTGTAAATGTAAGGTGGTACGTGCTGTATATGCGTGCACAGATGCACATGTCGATGATGAGGAGCAGAAGAAAGAAAGATGCTGTTACATGATGGTCTCGTTACGCAACGTCGATGATGTTGCGGACCAACAGAACTGCTGGTCGGCTCGACGTGCTCGTTCGATGCCGGCGAGACTCTTCGACGTCTGCAGGAAGTAAATATTTCGACAAGGAGAAAAAAGATCAAATAAAAAGGAAAGGCGCATACGCGCACATAATAAAAAGCAACTCGTTAGGGAGTGAAAGTTACCGCCGGCTCTCGATATACATACATACCCATACATACCTAAGTATTGCTGATATGCGTGTCTCTGTGTCTGTGTTTGCCATTTACACACACACACACTATATCAATATATTTGTGTGAGTATATATTGAATACTCCGGCTTTAAATTGACCCCGACAACTTTCCTTAATTTCATTAATTATCAATGCATGTATCAAGCTAATTAAGATGAAATCAGCACGGATAGAAATTCCGGAGGATGGAAGAAGGAAAGCAATGCGAGGATTATGCATGCAAAGAATTCGGTTGCACCGGAATGACGCAAGAGATCGTCGTTTACACGGAGAAATGGTCAGTCACTGAGGTGGACTTTGGAAAATCGGCTGTTCATTGTTGTTTCGTCGCAATTTCGTCGGTACTTTCGTAATCGAAATTTCGTTCGCCACCGGTTTTTTTTTGATACATGCTCGTATCCGGGATACATATGGATTTTATGTCATCAGTTCAATTTCGTAACAGATCTTTCATGATGCTATCATATAATTAAGAGTAATAAAATATGAAATGTATATTTTACTTAAGTACTAATGTACTTAAAAAAAATCAATCATTAAGTTATTCATTAAATTAATTGATAAAGTTCATTTACATAATTATATAATTTACACATAACTCATACTTCTTGTACTTTATGATAATCGCAATTAAAACTTCGTTATATAGTTATAGCACTAGCACGTTATAACACTTTAATCTTAGCCATGAAGGCTGAGAAGCGATTATCTCATATAACTGCAATACCTCGTATAGTTCAGGTAATCGGTTTCGCCAATATCCCAGACTAATCGAGGATTTTAAAAATAAGCCGCACAAAATAGGTTTCGTGTACTATTTTTTTAGAATTTATTTTATTTTCTGAATTAAAATTTAGTTTCTTTCAAAATTTTCAAACCTATAATGATTTTGGCGAACTACTTAAGACGTGTTTGAGGAGAAGAAGAGCAAACACAATAGTTTTTATGCAAATCATTATTGTTTTTCTTAAAATGTCTTCTTTTATAAAATATTTAATATTAGAAAAACATTTAAGCTAACGGTTTCTAAGATCTTCCAAATTCCTGGTGAATTAAGTATTATAAAAATTCCCTAAATGATCTATTTAAAGTTGTTAAAACTAAATATTTATTATCAGTTTGTTTTTTTTATGTAACAGTTACATTATCAAATATAGGATTTTCGACTGAGATTTTGTCATTAAAAAATATTTATTACTGACCTATAAATCTTCTTTCATTTCCTAAGCAATCGTTGAAAATTATACCACGACAATTCTAAACAAACATCCATCCGTCCATGATTAGTATTCTTCACAGCCTTTGACTATTTTTCAGGATCAAGTATGATCAATCCATGTTTCTTCAAAAATCACGTAATAATGCAACGCAAATTCTATAACAATACATCATAATATTGATGAGAAATTATTACTTTTTAACAATCTAATGTAGAAATAATATACCTTTTATAATCTCAATAAGTTTCATCTAGTTTAGATTTTATTTTTAATTTATTAAATTGATTAATAATCCAAACTTGTTTTTTTTATAATGACAGTAGTTATTAGAAACAATTTGTCACAAAATGGAGACATTATTCAATTTCAAAGCCAACTTTATTTAATATTTTCTAAACAATTTGATTTATTTTGTAGTTTTTCAAACATTGTTTCCATTTATTTTCGTTATCTACCTCTAGACTACAGGTTGGCACCATTTTTGCAGAGAAATATTTGCAAACAAATATTTTGAGAGTATTCAGCGAGAGAAAGTGATGTAAAATTCTTATATGAATTGGCTAATTGATGACTAATATATTGATTCATATTGCTTGCAATAGTAACTTGGGTTATTTTAATTATTGAAATCTTTTCTGGGAATTACATGTAATGTTCGAATACTTATCAATAAATTTTCAAGTATGTACAGAAAAAGGTGTTATAATAAAATTATTAGATTATCAAATAGTTTCTAACAATTTTTCAATAAAACTCTCTTTATATGACGAAAGAAAAAATACAGAAAAATTTCTTTTTCTTAATATTTGTTGAATGTTTTGTTAACTCATTATTTTAACCATTAAACATCTAACAGAACCCTAGAAGAAAGCAATAAAAGTAAATAATTTTATTTTTAAATAAAAGAGCCCTATTTGACCCTATTTCTACCCCTTTCAGGTTTTTATCGGCCCCCACATTTTTTTGTTGGTTTTTGGGAATCGAACCAACGACCTTTCCTATCAGATTTTCGTGATACAGGCGACCATACACGGCGGAAAATAATTTCTTATACATAATTGACTTGATTGTAATGTAAATTGTATATATTATGGTAGTTAATGAATAATTTCGAATTTGAATACTTATCATATTAAGCAAAAATCAGATCTTTAAAGTTAGACTTATACGAGGTTATTACGAGAATATCACATTATGGATGAAAACTATGATAAAAGAATGTTGTAATAAATGATGTAGATTCAATAATTTATATGCAATGTATGTATGCGTTGGATTTAACAATCTTGTGACGAATATGAATTGCATTCAAAGTACAATTATCTGTTAATGTACATTATAAATAAGAAACAATATCTTTAATATCATTAAATAAGATTATGATGGAGTAAAGCTCTCAATCTATCATAAGATTAAATAATCGTGTTTTATTGAAGGTTGTAAGCAAACTATATGGTATGCAACTAAACTAACATTTGAAGTAGTTTCCCATAATGAATGATCATTGATCTTCAAAGATTAAAGATCTGTAAAGATATATTGTAGACTATTGTTATTTTATTAAATTGTTATATTGATAATAATAGTTTGATCATCAAGGAACTAAACTTCTTCAATCAAGATTCAATTCCTAGAGGTCGCTTCAAAATAATCGTGTGAGCATATATATGCAATTTGCCGCATGTTCTAACCATACAGATTCCACATTGTCATATTGCAACCAATTGCAACGTTTCCAGTGATTTCATCAGATTGCATTTATTGCATAGTTATATTAACATATTGCATCAGTTTGACAAACTGATTTAAAGTTGGTTTTAGCAAGTGAACAAACACACGAAAATGTCCGGTGATCAACAGAACGGTGAATTTCATATGAAATACGTATCGATTTTCTATTTAATAAGTTATTACCAAAATAGGCATTTACACTTCCGAGAAGAACGGTAACGACGAGAGCGGAGATGGCTCAGAGGGAAAACCATTCAAGACCATACTGAAGGCTATGCACAAAGCCGGTGCCGAACCCTTCCCGGTGATTTACGTCGATGGCAACGAAGGTGTCAAGTATGAGCCAGCCTCCAAGTCTCAGCTGAAGAAAATTACGAAGTTCTTTGTCAGAGAGAAATCCAAGTCTGAGGATAAGCAGAAGAAGGAAAAGGAGGATGAGGAGAAGAGGAGCAAGAACCTGGAGGATGCCAAAAAGATCATCATTACAGAAGATGAATCTTTGCCCAAGGCAAAGAAGATTAAAATTAGTGATGGTGAGTGTTTTTGTATAATAAATAATCTTATAAGAATTTTAAGTTTAGGATGATCTTCAAATATTTTGACTTTTTAAATGATTATTAATAACAGTGAAATAAGAATTGTTACCATTTGTTGGTAATAAATAAATTACAGAATTGAAGAGTTACATTCATAAATATTTGAGATGAGAGAAAAGAGAATGTAAACAAAAAAATATATAATATGTAAATTTTGTTAACAGGAAAGGAACACAGAGGACAGAGAGTGACAATGTATGGATGGGTGCATAGGCTTCGTCGTCAAGGTAAAAACTTGATGTTCATCACATTGAGGGACGGTACAGGATTTTTGCAGTGCGTCCTCAATGATTTGCTTTGCCAGACTTACAACGCAGTCGTCTTGTCCACTGAATCTTCAGTGAAACTCTTCGGTTTCATCAAAGAAGTCCCGGAAGGCAAAAACGTAATGTTACGCTAATAGTAAACGTTCGATAAATCATTGAATTTGTTAAATTTCAGGCACCTGGTGGTCATGAAATGCACGTGGACTACTGGGAGTTGGTTGGTTTGGCTCCACCGGGCGGCGCAGATGCTATCCTCAACGAGGAAGCTCTTCCAGACGTTCAAGCCGAGAACAGGCACATCATGATTCGCGGTGAAAACACCTCGAAAGTCCTCAGGATGAGATCAGTTTTGTTACAAGCATTCAGGTATTGCTTCAATTATTTCTCATTGTACTAGAAATGCTGACGATGTATTTTTTTAGGGACCATTACATGGCTCGCGGTTATTGCGAAGTTACACCACCGTCCATAGTGCAAACCCAAGTCGAAGGCGGATCCACTCTGTTCAAACTTGACTACTTCGGTGAGGAAGCTTACCTCACGCAAAGTTCCCAATTGTACTTGGAAACTTGTCTTGCTTCCATGGGAGACGTTTTCTGCATCGCCGAGAGCTTCAGGGCCGAACAGAGCAGGACGAGGAGACATTTAGCTGAATATACGCACGTTGAAGCTGAATGTCCATTCATCTCGTTCGATGATCTCTTGGATCGTCTCGAGGATCTGATCTGCGATGTCGTTGATCGCGTCTTAAAATCGCCATGGGGTCATCTCGTATACGAATTGAACCCTGACTTCAAGGTGCCGGAAAGGCCCTTCATGCGCATGGACTACACGGATGCTATCAAGTATCTGAAAGAGCACAACATCACCAAGGAGGACGGTACCTTCTACGAGTTCGGCGAGGACATCCCGGAGATGCCCGAGCGCAAGATGACCGATCAGATCAATAAGCCTATTATGCTGTGTCGCTTCCCAGCGGCCATCAAGTCCTTCTACATGCCCAGATGCAAAGAGGACAACAGGTTGACGGAAAGTGTTGATATTCTGTTGCCTAATGTGGGTGAAATCGTTGGTGGATCAATGAGGATCTGGGATTTGGAAGAGCTGATGAAAGGGTAAGAAACCAAAATAATTTTGGTTGTGTTCTTGCCTACATAAGATTTGTTGTTTCAGTTTCGAGAGGGAAGGAATCGACCCTAAACCTTATTTCTGGTACAACGACCAACGTAAATACGGTTCATGCCCGCACGGAGGATACGGACTTGGATTGGAACGTTTCGTCTGCTGGCTGCTTAACCGTTACCACATTCGTGAAGTCTGCTTGTATCCACGTTACTTGAACCACTGCAAACCTTAATTTAATTAGTGGACTACACACATGCATTTATTATACCCTGCTTGCTTATTAAAGTAATAAAAAGTTATTAAATAATAATATAACAAGACTAAAACCTATGTTTTTCTCCTAAATTTCTCCATCTCTGATATTGTATTTTTTTGTATTTTTTAATTTATGTACACTATAAAAATTAAAATTAACTCCCAATTAGTGTCCTTCATTACGTCAATCATCCTTAAACTTCCGATTCAATCGAATTATCCAAGGGAGAAAGTAAAGTTATAAAGATTCTAACAGCATTGTATTCCAAAGGTTCTTTATCTTCTGGTGTGATTACTGTCTTTCGCTTTTTTGAATCTGAAACCTTATGTTTTTTACCAGTACCAGTTTTTTTTACTTAAGGTTGCAGTTTTATAGCACATTAGGCGTTTCATTTTTGTCCAATTTGTCATTCTGGAAGTGCGTTGCCTCTGGGTCTGGGTCTATCGCAAGCCCGACAACCGAAATCCCGACTATATCAAAATCTCGATAACCATAATCCCGACTATATCAAAATCCCGACTGTATCAAAATCTCGACTATATACTATACATTTTTATTTTTAATAACAATAAATTATTATTAATTTATTTGATTTTGTTGAATTATTCATAATAATCCTTAACATTATGAAATAATATCAAATACAATTAGATTATTAATTGTTGCTATTTATCGGGATTTTGATACAGTCGGGATTATGGTTGTCGGGATTTCGAACGTAGGGATTTCGATACAGTTGGGATTTCAAACGTCAGGATTTCGAACGTTGAAATTTTGATTGCGATTGCCACCGGTTGTGCACTGTCCGTCGTCCGTCAGTTTGTCTAAATTAAATGTAGCTACATTATTCCCAACTAGAATGTGCCTCATTTGAAACTTCAATTGCAGATCGAAGAGCTCTGGTTACTCACAAGTAATCATTGTCGATTGATTTTAAATTTTTTCGAAGAACTGTATATATTCAATCAGCTATTAGTTTATTTTCTAGAAGTAAACTAACGTTGATTCTCTGCAAAACAAAAAAAAGAGTAATTATAAAAAAAAACTTTATATCCCCTTCCTGTATTCATTTCGTAAAATATAGATGAACTTAATATTATTGGCTTTACATTTTACTACTGTGATTAAAAATTGATTATTTTTCATAGTAAGTTAATTAATGATAATTCTTTAATAGTAAAATTAAAAAAACTAGTATTTTAAGTTAATTCGTCTTTCGATTTCAATCGTAAAATTTAGTGTGTATTAATAACTTTAAAATAAATGATAATTCAATATAAAAGTTTTCAAATGAATAAAAAAACAAGTAGTAATACTTAATATTGAATAGAGCAAATAAGTCGAAACTAAAAAATTAAATGTATAAGAAAAGAAATGGGTCGGAATAGACGGTCTCTATTAAAATCCCGACGTTCGAAATCCCGACTACATCAAAATCCCGACTGTATTAAAATCCCGACTTGTTGAATTATTCATAATAAACCTGAACATTATTAAATAATCTATAAATACAATTAGATTATTAATTGTTATTATTTATTATTAATAACAATTTAAAAGTCTACACACCAGAATAATTTAAAAATGTTATTGTAGACATTTTCGATATAGTCGGGATTTCAATAGACGGTCTTTCGGTTGTCGGGCTTGCGATTGCCACCGAAAAGAAATACGGGCTATGAAACAATTTAGTTTTTATTTAATTAGTTTTATTATGTTATTTTGTTAACTAAATTTGACCTAAATTTGTTATTATTTTATCATGAAATATTATGTGGTACTCATATAAGAACTCTACCATTAAACATTTGAAATTATCCATTAAGCAAATAGAAATACAAGGCAAAAGAATGTAGGTTACTCCCTCTTACTCATAGGTAAAGTAAAGTTAATTTTTCATTAATATTTTATCTATTAATTATGTATATTTTAAGGTTGATAGATAAATATTGTTGTTAATATTATATGTATTTTCTTCTTATAGCGGTTTTGGTTTCCAAACAAATTAAGTTAAAAATATTGTACTCCAACAATATATTGTTTGATTTTACGTTGTTATTCGACTTAAACAGATTAATACAAATTAGAAAAAGAGTTTTGGTATTCAAACAATTAGGGTTCCGAATAGCCTTTTTTTATAAAAAGAGATTTATATCAATTTATTTATTGATATAAATCTCTCCTTTCTGGTTTAACAGCCACCACAAATTTTTGTTGATTTTTCGGTATTGAACCAACGACCTTTCGTATCAGATTTTCGTGATACAGGCGACCATAGCCGAATAGCCTTTAGAAACGTAAGTGGATTCTTAGTAGTTAGAAATATTACGTTACTGTCCTGGATTTTGGTAAGGTCTCTTACAAGATCACCCGGTATATAGACACTTGAGCGCCCTCTGCGAATGAGCGTTATAAACAGTGACTTAAGCTACTTCAATGTAGACGCTGCAGTTGCTACTCTGGTTGTATAACTTTGTAAATATACAAATAATCTTTGTATTTACAAAAAAAATATATACAATTATTTCGATAAATTGACCTAGTTTTTCGGTTTTTGTTTATGATTTATTACGATATTTGTGTGTATATATATATATCAATTCGATTTAATTGATATTTGCAAGGAGCACTTTCTCTACGACTGTTTGTTATATAACGCACGTAACATACATACACGCATTGAGCATTGGAATTGCTTGTGCGTATAATTGTTTTTATTGTAACAATTCCATGTAAAAATCGTTTAAAAATTGTAATAAAATCATACAAAAAGAAGCAACATATTGCGATGTTATAATTTAGTTACATCATACTGAGATTAAGAAATCCAAGCAAGTAGGAAATTAAATAAAACAATTTTTATTTAGGTCCAAATTAAATACAATTACAGGAAAAATCATTGGTATTGTTTGAGTATGTATTAAGACTTATAGTTTATAATATTTTTTAATGTTATTGTATATAATTATTACCGTTTTTAACGGTATAAAAAGTATTTAAACTACTGTTTAAGATGTTATAATTTTTCAACAACCTTTATTTTCAATATGAGACACTTATCACTGAAAAAATAGATAGAAAAGTTATTAAAATCAGAATTTCTTAACCCTATTGCAATGAGTATTTACCAGTTTCTCACTTTGATAAAGAAATGGGTGACAGCTGTCATCTTATGTCAACGAAAGACGTCAATGTAGTGCATTGGTCATAAGGTTTATTGTTATTCAATATTATTGAATTATGATGTTCAGAAATGAATATGTAAATATTTTGTAACATTATTTTACAATAAACCTTTTAACTTAAAGTTACTGTATTTTATAGACATTAGACCCAAATATTGTCTAAATAAGTTCTGGTACATTTTATAAAAATATATATTTTAATTCCAATTCTCAGTCAATTTATTTGTAAGATTTATAATATTTTGTTTTATAAAAATATTACCTAAAACGCAAATTGTAATCATTATTTTTTTGGTGCAACTTGCAGCAAGATATAATTGCAATATGTCATGGAAAATAACATAAAAAAATTGTGCTACATATTTGGGTGTGTTTTTTTGTCACATTTCTGTGTAAATAATTACAAATAGTTTGCGTGCGTTTGTCGCTGTCTCCATTTTTTTTCTTCTGCTGTTCTTTGGATGCAAATTTTGCGGTGGTCCAGTTGTAGTCGATTTTTTTTCCTCTCTCTTTCTCTTCGTATTTAGGCTCATCTTCTTCATCTCTTTTTTCTTCTTATTTCAAAAATGCATTGTGGAAAAGGCGACATGAATGCGGTGTCAATATAATAAGTTTTGTTTAATGATCGGAACGTCAAGTTTGGAACTGGAGGCGAGCAATTGCGTTGCGTGTCTCGGCTCTTCTGCTTTGTGGACACGGGTGGACTATTAGCTCGAAAACCGAAAAGATTGCCTTAAGTAAACTATTACAATTGACAAGCGGTCGTGGCTGGTACGAAATATATAATAATAAGAAGTAGAACAGAAACAATATTTTTGTTTTGGTGGTCGAGGAGATCCTGAGTGCAGCGGAGATAAAAGAATGCGAGTGGAAGGATTCGATTGTCCTTCGCGCATGGAACACGGAACGACGAAGGGATTCTCCCGAGAAGTGGGCATTTTTCTGCTCGTCGTTTGTTACGTGAGACCAATTTTCGAGTCAATTAAATTGTCATTTTCTGTGCAACAGGAAAGCCAAGGAACTGTTATATAATTTTATCATCGAAGTAACTTCTGTAGGCACGTCTTCAGATGCGTAAATAGCAATATCGACGATACTTGATGAATACACCTTAACCTATGGGTCGCGAAATGACAGCTGTCAAATTATATCAAAGCGAGGAATTGGTGAAATACTCTTAGTAATTGGGTCTATGTTGGGACGCGCGACAAAACAATTAAGAAATATTTCTATATAGTAAAACATACAGTTTGAAACTTGATTATATTTACTTAGAAAACAAGTATTAATAAAGAAAAACAACTACAATTAAAGAGCTAATGTCGATAAAAATCTGTGTAAGTCAAAGCGATTTTTTGTTTTCAATTTGCTGAAAGTTTTGAGAACAAACTTAACGCTGGCGTTGCAACAAATGTGCTTTATTATATTGTGAAATAAGTCATCAGTCAAACGATTTGACATAATATTTCTCTTTAAGAAGAATGAAACAAAAAAGGAAATAAAAGTCAAGTTAGGTGGAGTTCATGGTGAGTCTGCTCTTTCATATATTACAGTTCGGATTAATAAATTTACACGAGGTCGTGGAAGTATACAGAATGCATCACATTTAGTATAAAACATTGCCCATATGTAGACCATTAGAAAAGTACACTGAATGGTAATGAAATGTCAGTGATTAATGTTGCAATAGATTATAAAGACTAGGTCTACGTCATAATATCATGCTTACTGTGTTTTACTTTAATATTGCGATTCTATTTACATTGTGCCAAATAATTCATAATTGACCAAAAAGAAATTTCAATTATAATTTTTATAAGCGTAACTGGTTGTTAATGAAGCATGAATCCATTACTAAAAACTAATCAA